AAACTAAATTTTATAATCTCCGAACTACTACTTATAGATTTTGGTCCTCCCGCCAATCTCCAAAATCCAATAAGTCGTTTTCTTTTATTAACTTTTCTTCAGATGGAACTTTATTTATATCAGCTAATGTATTAACGTGACTTACGTTATTATGTCTATCTACAAATTAGGTATGTGGTCATGAACACTTAGTACTTCTAGTGAAAATTATTCAATAAAGAACAGCTAGAGGTACGCCCTGTGTGATCGAGGATATTTAGGCTCTTAACAAGAGGCAGTCCCGATCATTCTTACACAAGCTACCACTGCTAAATCCTAACTGACTAAATTGTATTTTAGTTTAATATAGTTTGAAACCTAGTAATTTCCATCGAAGTTTACAACTTAATGTTTTGACCCGTTTTTCCTTTCTCGCTTTTTGACCCATAAATAAAGTTGGAAAGATTAATAGAACTAGGCCAACTCTTATGTTTGGAATTTTACTGAGGCCTTTTAATGGCCTCGTCCAAATATCTGATATGTAAAATGGAAAAGGTATTAATTAATAAAACCAATAAAAACCTTTTTAGGAAACTTAAGTTCCTCGTGCTATTAAGAGTACATTTAGGAAACTTACGTTCCTCGTACTATTAAGAGTACATTTAGGAAACTTAAGTTCCTCGTACTATTAAGAGTACGTTTATAATATAGAGTCTAATGTGGAGGCCCGGCTTGTTACACAATCATACTAATTGCGTTCATATTAGGCTATTTTGGAGGGACTGCGAGAATTGGAGGATCCAGGTTTCACTGATGGGCAATGGAGTTGGTCGAAGCGACCTAAAACACGCAAGTTTGACCCAAATCAACATGCAATTACGTTGGCAAAAGAAGTCATCGACCAAAGTAAAGATTTTTCTTGTACTATTAATAGAAGTAGGTGGAATCCTCTGCTTTCCACCCACATGAAGAAAGTAAAAGAGCCAATGGACGCTGAAGAAAGGAAGTTATACATAGAGTACCGCCGGATGAAGTTGATGTGCTACAAACCGGAGAAAGCCGCCCGGGGACTGAAAATGAATCAAGTTTTAGAATGGCTTAGTGAGTATGATGCGAATGGGAATAAAGTTTAACATTTGTAACGTGTTTAAACAATTTATTTATTCAACTAGAACATATATTACATCTATGTTGTCGTTGCTATCATACGTCACTTCTGAATCATAACCGTTCATTTTATCAGCAATAAGTTCCAAGGTTTGAACTAGTGTTGGTTTTGAGGGCATTCACCAATCTGTAATTGGTGGATCTAAATTGACCAGACCACACGCAACTTGTGCTTCGTGGTCTGCAATATCAACTTCGCTTATTATTTTGTTCATACCCCCAGAGCCAGCATAATTACGAAGCTCTTCCATATTTCTTTCAATTGTTATACGTTCCTTTGCTATGTCGCGGTCGGCTTGTGCGCGTTCAGTGCTAAGCGCGAATTGTCCTTGCTGTTTTTTACGGGGTGTACAGACACAGATGCCGAGCCTTTCAATCTCGTATCTGTCTGTAAGCTCCTTGTCATACATGTAGACTATTTTAGTTCTTCCGTCTCCCTTAATCATTTTTGTGCCATAATTTTTGAAATTATACATGCCCTAAAGAAGTGGTCAATCTGGTGGCAACGATTAATTTCATTAGGTATGTAACATGTAAATTAGGCTTATCGCTTATATAATTTGCATATATCATAACAAACATATATGTGACAAGAATGTATATCTAATATACTTATATACCACGTCAACATGTCGTATATGATCACAAAAATTCATGCCCTTCAGAAGGAGTAAACACTTGAATATGTTTTGTAAATACTATGTATAGTCCCAATCAAACATGCACAAGTGTGTACATGTGTATACACTGTGTGTGTACACGTCGATTATATATATAAATATACACATATTGTTTTTACTTCATCATCAATCTTGTCCGTCACAGTCCAACATGATATCGTTGAGAAAATTAAAAAACTACAATCAATGGTACCAAATTCTCACATCTGAATTTATA